GCGGGGCGGGTCGGAGGTGGAGGGGGGGGGGGGGGGCCCGGGGGCGTCCCCCCCTTCCGTGGGGGGGGGGGGGGGCCAGATTGGGGGGGGGGGCGGGGGCGAAAAGTTTTTAAAAAAGGGGGGGAACTGACTCTTATCTATGCCTACTCGAAAGAAACGTCCAGGATTAGAAATAGACCTGAAATAGAAACAGACCTCAGAAGAAATCTCTAGGGTTAAATAGACATATGAGTACAGTCCTGCAACTGAATTACGCACGCAGGCTTAGTTAGAAATTTGTTTTATTTGTTTTTATATTTATTTTTTAAATATTATGTATATATTTATTGCTCGATTTGTACCCCAGATTTCTACTCTAAGCAGCTAACAAAAATTTTAAAAAGGGAATATAAAATGTGAAGGAAAAGTAACCCCAAAATCAAGGTTAAAATCAGACATCGTCTACGAGATATGCAACAATATATTAAGGTTTTTACCAAGGAACGGAGTTTTTGGTGAAAATGATTAACAGCTCCTTGCTGGCCAGGGGCCGATGAAAGCGGCAATCCAGCCTCTTGCAGAAACACAACTGCTGCTGTGTTCACACAACATAACGCAACGGTTTCTGCAGCGCCCTGAAGTACTGCCTAAGCCCAGGTTTCTGAGCAGAGAGATGTAGATGGCCTTGAAGATTTCTTCTGATTCTATATTCCTTAAGATAACGTGCATAGGGAGTCAATGAAACACTAAAAATATTAAAAAGTGCCACACGGGTCTTGAACGTGGAATATATATTCGAAATAGCTTCAAAGTTCAAACGAAGCATAAGATTTTGAAATCAATACAATCATCCTCACAAACTCGGAACGCACCTACTGTACTAACGTTTTTGGGGAACTGGGAAGATGATTGAGAAATACATTAATACGAATCTTTTGCTTTCAACAAACTGGCCGACTGAAGTTTGAGCAGGGTCGAAAACTACATTTCCCATCATGCAGCAAGATGGGGGAGCACGAAACAAAGGACGCTCAGACTGGACTACATTTCCCAGAGTGCCTCAGCAGAGCTCGCCGGGCTCTGATTGGCTTCCTGGAGAGAGCGGTCGGCCGTGTAGTCTTGCTATACTGCAGAACCCGAACCCGAGCAAAGCCATGGCGGCGGGTCGTTCAGGGCTTCCCCGGTTGAAGCAATGCCTGATCAGGAGGAAAGGCCAACAGGAACAGCACGGGGTGGCCGCCTCCACCCTCCAGGAGCTGCAGACTAAAGGTAAGACTTTCCGCTTTGAGACTTCCAGGCAGAGGTGCCACAGGTGAAGTGGCCCATTGCACCATTCTGACCTACAGGACTACCTGTTTGGCATTCTCTCTAGCGGGCAAGTCCTAATTTACCTCTAAATTATAATAACGTTACCAAACGTTATATTCCATCTGAAAGAATAACATTACACACTTTCCTAGACTAAGGGTTTTCCCCCCCTTTCTTGCCCTTTTTTCTTTCTTCTCTTCTTTAGTTCGTATGATCTTTTACCCTTGCACTTAATACTTTTAGTAAAGTTATTATTTTAAAAAAAAAGGAAAAAAAGAACCGGGGTTTGGGAGAACAGTCCATCATCCTTTCCCTTGCTACGTTGTAAGGGATTCAGGGTGCCCCTTTCAGGTAGGAGAGGGCAAGGCAGAATTTGGTGCAAGGGAGGAGACTTAAGGGTGGAGCGGCCCATTGCCAGAGACAATGATGTCCAAGTTTCTCGGCATTAAAGAATTCGCTGCTGGGAGAAAAGCAAAGGCCGGACCCGTAGCCCTGCAGGCGTGGGTTCAGTGCTGAAAATCTGCTCTAGGGCCTTTTTTGAGGACTGGGAAAAAGGGCAGGAAACAAAATTAACAAGAGAAGCGTCCTCGGCCAATGCAGAAAAATGTTCTGTCTTGTCCTCAAGAACTCCTCCTTTTTCTACAGCCTGCAATCTGCTAGCGATTGACTCGGCCTCACGGCCTGTAACTTTGGTACTGGCTGGAGACGGCACCATAGTAAATGACGACGATTATTTTTTGTGCCTGCCCCCAAACACCAAATTTGTGGTGATGGCTAAGGATGAGAAGTGGACCAGCAGCAGCACAGGTAAGGAATTATAACACCTTTAGAAGCTCAAGCCATAGAGGTGCAAACAATGCCTGCCCCAGGACAGATAATTTTGATCAACATTTAGAGGATGAATTCAAGGATCAGCGGGCCCTCGGAATGCCTTATTATTACACTTAGAAATGTATAGATGTTTGTTTGGGGGTAGGGGGGAGCAAGCAAGGAATTTTTGGGCACCTGAAAGATATCCTATGTACACTGTAAAAGAGCCACTTCACTCCACGGTAGCCCAAAATCAGGACTCTGTTGGGCTCCCACTGTGTGAAATTGTGCTGACACACCTCTCTTACTTTTTAATGTTCAGTGGATTCATGACTCTACCAGTTTCAGGTGGGGGCACAGCCTGGCTAGAGGAAGAGATCGCTAACACAGATGAAATGGACAGCGTTGGAGAAAAATGGAAGCTCTTGGCCAGGCAGCTCAAGAACGACCTTTCTGCCATCGTGCTGATGTCTGAAGAAGACCTCCAGGTATGAAACGGCCATGCTGAGCAAGTCTAGAATAAATGTCTCTTGTTCCAGCCATCTCCTTGTCACTTTTGAAAGCAGGGAGCACATAAAATAGGAGGATATAACCCAAGTCTAACTGTCTGTTCTCCCCCTTTGGAGGAAAACCAAAGCATACTCAACAGATGATAGTTCCAACTCTGCTTTAAGTCCACAGAGAGAGAGACCATCGTCCCTGCAGGGAACTTGGTTCCATCATTCAATTGCTCCTACCAAAAAGTTCCTTCAAATTTATCTGCCAGGAACTTCAGAGAATCATAATCCTCTTTCTGGACTACCAGCAGAGAATGAGCATTCAATAAAATCTGCAAGCAATCCTTCCACACTGAGAATTAAACCAACCGCCACACAGCCCCATCCTTCTTACTTGGAAGAAAGTCTTCCTGAATTTAAGGGGAAGCCTCTCAAGGGATCCCGCAGAGGACTGCACTCTTAACTGGAGTCTTCTCTTTATCAGAGCACCGAGAAGGGGCATGATTTATGGGGCGTTCTTTTCCTGTTATCTTCAAGGATATTAACTAGCTCTGTGTTTTTAACACCAAGTGGCAGGCAGCTTTCAGAGCCTCAGAGAGGATTTTGTTTTAACCCTAACATGAATGCCAGGAAGTAAACCTGGAATCTTCCATGAGCAAAGCTGACATTCCTTCTTTCTCCCAAAGCCTTGGGAGTGGATGTTCTATCGCCTGCTGTGTGAACTTATTACACGGCCACATTTAATTATGACTTTGGGCTAAGTGGGGGAGTCCCGAGTCTCTCTCACCTTGGCTGGGTCCTGTTTTCCTCCAGGCGCTCATTGACGTACCGTGCTTAGATCTGGCTCGAGAACTTTCAGAGAATCAAGCCCAAACCCAAAGGTTACAGGATACCCTTCAGGAGACGCTGGACAGGCGGGAAGAGGAGCGTCAATCCCGTCAGCTTCTGGAACTCTACCTGCGGGCAATAAAAAAAGAGCATCAAGTTGTATCCACGACAGAAGGTAATAAGACCCTTATGGAGAAGCACTGGTTAGGAATGAATGAATGAATGAATGAATGAATGAATGGAGCAGAAATGTTACCCTAATATACCTTTTAAGTCTATACCTCAGCTGTGTACCCTTGTCCTTCAAACAGCAACCATAGAATTTTCACTATTTTTTTTACTTAGTGCCAGCACTCTGCTAGATACTGTACAAGTTCCTTGACACATCCTAATTTATGGAAACTTTTCAATCAAGCCAAGATCAAAGCACGGCTGATAAACCTGGTTTCTCCATGAGCCAAAGGTTAAGGAGAATTTGAAATGTAACAGGCAATTACACCAGGTTCAAGCATGTTTCAAATTGGGGTTACATTTGAACAGGGCCAGCATCTGCACCTCATGAAACTATGACTTTGGGAGAGGCTCTAAAGTAAAATAATTGCTGGCTTGGCAGCTATTGCCATGCAAGGAACATTTCTTATTTTGAGCCAAAGTGCTACATATCCCATTGATTGTAAGCTGCTTCGGATATAATTTTGGGTGGACACGTTGCCTGCACATTTTATTTATTTATTTACATGATTTGTTTGGTTGTTTACTAAGGCTTATATATAAAAGAATTTAAAGAATACACTGGCAGTGGCATAATGACAGAAAAAGCCAAAAGGTTTTCAAGGAAGCCTTCTGGAGGCTTCAAACGTCTCCTTCAGGAAACACAGGCCCTTCTCTTTGTGTCTAAAATCAGAAGCAGAGGAAAAATCCACGGAAGGAGCCGACACTGTGGACATTGGGAGCAGCGGACCATGTTCAGCAGAAAGCACTCTGCTCAGTACCCATGTTTTGACTGTGCTGAAAGAAAAGTCTGCTCCAGAACTCAGCCTGGCCAGTCAAGATTTAGAGGTGGGTAAATACAGACAGCTCCAGCCATTTAGCCTGGCCTTGTTCTTCCCTTCTATGCATGGTAATGGATTCTGGGACCTGGTGAGCATCATCCTCTTCCCCTAACGGCTTTATCTCCCTCAGTTCCAAAGTACATGTTCCCTGGTGTGTTCAGAGCTAAACTGGTTGCCACACACCCTCGCTCATTTGGGCTGGGCTGCCCAGCGTGGTCGTGCTGCTGGAGCAGATTTTGTCCCCTTGCCTATCACTATCATCCTTGAGCCTGATGGTCCAGTATTAACAGCCATGCCTCTTCTTCTCGTGCAGCCCAGTGTATTCCTTTTCCGCTCCGTGGATCGTCCTTCCTTTCTTTACCCCCTTGGGGGCGACCAGCCTTGCCCATCACCTTGGCTTTCTGGCTAATCACTGAGCCTCCATATTCCTGCCCCAACTTAACTGTGCCGTGTCCTGCAGATGAATCTGCCATTTTGTAAGCCATGTTTCCCTAGTACAAATAGCTAGAGCTTTCTGGCTTGGTGGGGAAGCAAAGGCTTAAAACAGGACATTGAGTATGATAAAGTATAATAGTTTGAAGAGAGATTTGAAAGAAACAGGAGAAACATGTTTGAAGTTCTAGAATAGGATTTATGAACAAGGCAGGAACATCTCGGTCTATGAGTTAGGGTGACAGCAACCTAAGATAAGAGAGGATTACAGTCAGATCAGGATGTGTTCTTGGGCTGATTTTTCCCTACTAGCATTTGAGCCAGGAAAAAAGCATCTCTAAAACTCTAGCTTTCTGTTGCAGCTGGTTTGCAAAGAAGACTCTGAAGCCCTTTCTCGGGCGCTAAGCTGGGATAAATGCAAGACTGAAGCCTTAAAGGAGGCGTGTGGGCAGGAGCTTTCAAGACGGCTGCAACAATTTCACGCTCTAAATTCATTGAGGAGCATCTCCAAAGGCAAGAAAAAGCTGCCAGGGGTTGGGGAACGGACGAGTTCTAAACGCAGGAAGTAAGAGCCCTGGAAGTGGACGTTTTGAGGCAGTTAATCACCCTCTGGGTTTCCTGAATGGTAATGCCGTGTTCTTTCAAACCAGCCAAGCACATTTGGACAAAATATAAAAGCAAAAGGCATTGGGCAACTCTGCCGTATCTCACCTCACCAAACTGTTTATTTATACATAGTGCTGGTCCAAGAAAAGAAATATTTTCCTTTTTAACCCCTGAAGATTATGGTGTGTGTTGAAATACAAAGACAGCAATGCTCTTTTGAATAAGGCCCTTTCTTTGATACTCAGAGGTGGAACTACGAAGCTGCCAAGATGCAGAATTTTACCTATCCAGCAAAGGGCCTCTCCTGCTTTTAAATGATTAACTTTACAGGGATTATTAAAAAAAAAAATGTCTGGAACATGTGGATTTTGAATATGTGCAGCTGATAATGGATGCAGCACCATGGGATAATCTCCAATCTTAGCAGAAAATGTTAATGATTGTATTTTTTAAAAATTAGTTATATTTTAGTATTAAAGGCTTTGTATGATTGGCTACCTTTTTGACTGCTGATTCAGCTATTAACCTTTAAGATTAAGTCAGTCTGCCTTGGGATATGTATTCTAGTAGGACAGCCCTCTACGGTAATTTGTAAAAGTAGCAGTAATTTGTAAAATAAAAAGGACTCTTAATTCCAGCTCAGCCTGGCTGACTACATGGTCACACTCAGAATAAAAGAAGGAAGAAATGTGTGGAGAAATGGAATTGCTTGCTTCCTCATTTACATTCCAGTGGCTGTGTGTTTGTTACCCTGAAATGAAATACAATGGTCAACGGTAGATAAATGGCTTGACATTGTCTTCCTGGTCCCCCCCAACTTCCCAGGGTAATATTATGAACAGTTCTGATCACTGTATTGGGGGGCTTTTTACACTTAGGGGAAAAAGGCAAAGAAGGTGAGAATTTGCATATATTTATGCAAGTTCCAAAGAAAACACATGGAAGGAACTTTTTCCTCCTTCTCGTAAAAGACAGGAATGCATCAAGGGCAGCCCCATCAAATGGCAGGAGACTGAAGACAGACAAGAGGAAATTCTTTCACGGAGAGCAAAACTTCATTCTGGAATTTCTGCTGCAAGATGTGATGGCCACCAGCCAGAGGGGATGGTTTTAAAAGAGGCTGAAACAAATTCCCTGGGAGTTTAAATATCACGATGGCTGTATATCATCTCCAGCGTCAGAGACAGTGACAGTTCCTGGGGAATAGGAGGAGAAAGGTGCCATTCCTTGAATCCTGCTTATGGACTTGGCTGTAGAAGCCTCTTAAGAAAACAGGAAACGAGCAGAAAACAGGAAATCTGAATAGACAGACTTTGGCTTTGAACCTGCAAGATTCAACCTATATAAACAGTTACAATATAAACCTCCACTTTAGTTATTCAGACAACTCTCTGCTATTTCCCCGTCAAAAAAAATAATCTTTGAACCAATCCTTCAACATAGTATAAAGGAAGTACTGCCTCTCTTTCAATGCACTGTTTCCCACAAATGGGAATTCAGCTAGAAAGGCATACAAGGAAGGAGATACAAAGCAAGGAAGAACAAAAGGACAATTGGTATTTGTTTCCATCAATTCTTTTCCTCTCTCATTCGCACACAAATACACACTGATTCAAGGTTAAATCCACAAATGTATTGTCGCTATCGAACCAGGTTTGTTCACTGAAGCACTAAATGAGGAATGCATTCAAAACCATACATGATATTCACTCTCAACTGAATACAGCACAAAGGTTAGGCACATGTAGCAATATTTTATTTCAGCACGTAACAACAATTGTATGGGGAAACAACTCAGCACTGGCAAAAAAAACAGGAAAGACAAGCTGAGATACAGCATTCTTAGCTTGCCTGAAAGTATCTTCTTGGAACTCCTAAAGGCATATACAATCTTTGGGTCTCTGTGTTTTGCTTGTCTTCCATAGAGACTGACAATTTAAGTCACACTATGCAACTGGGCACAGAACTCCCCAATATCTCAGTGGCCACACTGTTTTTGTTTCCTGCAATTTTCTCACAACAGCATTTCAGATGCTATAACATTGAATCAGCATAAATGCCCAGATGTGGCTTCTGCTGCTGTTCCTTTGCCAACCCTCTATGTGGCACACAACGATTCTGTCAATACAAATACGGAAACTCTGCTTTTAGTGATGCTTGTGAAAAATGCAGTCAGCAAGAGTTTGAAGCTGGTTCTCTCAATTCTAGCAAGCCGTTTTCAGACTTCATATATTTAAGTTTGGAACTTGGTTCCTTACATTTTCAATACATTTGCTAAAATACTGTACAGTCAAGACTCTGAATATACTGTAGCTTTGTAGAAGCCCCCCAAAAGCAGGCTGAGCATAGAACCTTGGCTTTCTTCTCCTTTCTTTATTTTTTAGGAAATCACATTCTCAACCTTTGGGATAAGGTTGGGCTTGAAATTTGGTAGACTAAGCTTGCAGAAATCTCAGGAGCCTGAAATGCCCTGATTAAGAATGGCAGGGACTGAGTCACTGAAGCAAAAGTAAAGAAGGTAAAAGATGCCAGCTTGCTCACAGAATTCTGTATTCTCTGTGTTTAAATCCCTCCTCAACCTAATTGGTTGTCCAGTTACTTCTGTCTATCCTGTCTTTTTGGACTGCTGGTACTGGTTAAAAGAACCATCGTGTATTTCACAGAGGTCCTCGGAAGAAGGCTGGGACCCCCATGCAGTGGAAGGAACAATTTCAATTTTCCCTTTGGAAACACAGCCTTGATACAAATGTCTATACAAATGGGATCCATACGTTTTTCTTGTTAGATTAAGCAGAAGCCTAAGGAAGTTCACAAGCATATTTTGCTAATGCATATTGTCAAACAGAAGAGCAGATGGGAAATGTTTCTTTGTATACTATATGTGCAACCAAAGCACATTTAACACACGAGCGAGGCATGCTGTGTTTTGCCACACAACCAAGAGTCGGGGGGGCACCAATAAAAGGCTGCCAAGAGCATCTGTGTGGGAGTCAGGAGATCCAAGAAGTATATAAATGAAACTTTCTGTATGCACACTTCTAATACCAACAGAAGGGAAAGAGAAAGCTAATTACACAACAGTGTCTTCTCCCCAAAGTCACCAGTCCTATCCACCTCGAGTCCATTGGTGCAGGAAACAATTTGTTAGCAAGAGGAGAACGTTTTCCAGAAGAAGTTCTTACAGAGTGCCTTTTCCCGGGTTGGGGGCTGAGGAACAGGTGCTCTCTCTTCCCGAGGGCTGGCTACAATCTTCTCCTGCCTTGACAGATGGGACACGTTCACGTGTGATGCCCGTTCAGCCAGCCCCGAGAGGAGAACAAGGAATTTGTTCTTTTCTATGTCTGCTGGTGCCTGGAAATACTTGCAAACGAAGCAAAAGTGAATTAAGCATTGTTGTAGAAACGCAGAACTGCTGACAATCAAGGCTTTTAAAAAGGATGGGAGTTTAAGCTGCCTTGCGTTGAGTCTGGCAATTAAATCCTACTAAGTTTCACGCACAGTCCCTTCCTGAAGATCCTTTCAACTGGACACGGCAGGGTTCAAATATGCCCTGAGAGAGGCAAGGTTGCATCAAACTGCCCTAGACATAAGGTCTGAGTCTGCAAGCAACAGACTTGCTCTCCTTCTGATTAATCCTAACAAAGTGCTGTTAGAAACGTGACAAAATATAAACCTGATTTGAGACTTAGATGTTTACAGTATTTCTCTTCTCCCCTTGCCAAGTTCTCAAGAACAGAAGCCTGTCTCGGTGGGGTGTCAAGGGGTGCTCGTGTCACTGAATGAATACGCCTTGATTTAAAAGCATCACCACACATAGAAAGCTAGCATGTCAAGGGAAAAGCTTCTACCGGTCCTACATTTTTGTTGAGCCTTCGGGGTTTGGTGGCTTGTATTTCAGTATTTGGATATTCAATTACATGTAATCAGGAGGTGCCTTCTAGCAAGGCCACCTTGCAGCTTTCCAGGTTTTCGGGCAGGTTGTCATTCTGAGGGCTTTGTCAAGGAACCTTCTGCCTATAAAACAGATCTGATGGCTGAGCGAGGGCCTTCTCCATCACTTTGAGATATTGACTGCTCCCCCAGGGGCAGAAATGAAGGATTATTTCCTCTGCTGCTGAGTATCAAGCATATCTGGAATTCTTCCTGCCTCAGATCCCGAGACCATCCACTCACTTGGGAGAGGATAACCTCTGTTGCTTAATAACTTTATTAGTTTCCAGTGAAATTACAAACCTACATTTTTCCTTTGAAAGTAGAATTAAATAAGCAGAATTGCTTTTTGCTCTTTCCTTCAAACATAATTCCACTCTAGTCCATTTCATTCAAAAGCTCTCATTAAAACAACGGCTATCAGCCGTTAATCTATCAGGCTGCCATGCTGTAGCTCACGCAAGACTTTGGAAGAAAAATAGAGTTTTAATGGTAGATTTTATGGAGTAATCCTTGGATCTGTTTCAGCAGAGAATAGCGTAAATCAAACACCCTCGAGCTGAAAACTTTTAAAACAGCTTTTTAAATGATCTTTCTGACAACCCATAGCAATTATTTTGATAAAGGTGAAGCTATAGTGGTTGTTTTTTTTTTTTTAACGAGCCACATACAGTGGAAATTCAAGGGAAAGCTCATCAACACCTCAGAGCTACATCAGCTTTTCTTTCTGACAGGCTATGTCCTGATCAGAAATATTCTTTGCATTTTTTCTCCCAATTCTTGTTTTTAAACAATGTCACCTTAGCATTAGTCAGTCCACAAGAAGCAAGGGTGTTAAAAGTCTTCATTAAAATAACGTTTCCAAAGGAGGACCCGTACCGAAGGGTAAAGATCTCAGCTGGAAGTCCAATAGGCATGTTTAGGGTACAAGAAAAAGCAAACAGATTAGCCAATAATGTAGCCTCAGAATTAAGCCAGTGGATTTCAGTTCAAGCTTATTTTAAAATACGTATGCTCCAGATTGCAACCCAATGCTAACTCTATGACTACAGAATAGTCTGGCTATATTTTATCAGCAAGAGAACAGGCTCTCTTCTGCCCTCTGCTTACCTTGCTCTGTTGCCACACCAGCCCTTCTGGAACAGGAAGTGCAACCACTCCAGCAACCCCCATGGGGCTGGGAAATAGGATCAGCTCCAGAAGGAACAGGCCGAGTGGGGAGAACACTTGGAACGCCATCTGGCTCAGAGGTACTGTGAGCTTCACCTGCTTGCAAGTTATATTTTGAGCTTTTTAGAAATGGGGAGGGAGATATCTATTTTCCAACCTACTAGGTTTTATTAGAGGAGCCAATCCCCACCCCCACCCCACCCCACCCTCCTTCCTTTCTTTCCAAACTCAAGCAATGACGCACAAGCCGGGGCGCAATTAAGTCTCCAAATTGTGCATTTTGTATGCTTTAACCCTTAATTAGAGTCTCTGGGTGTCGATCCCATTAGAGTACATTTGCCATCAATTTAAGCTGCATGTGCATTTTTATTTGCTAAAAAAAAACCCTCCATCCGACTGAACCTCATTTCCTCACCATTATTCCCATGATGGTTAGGATGCTTTGAGTACAAAATAGTACGATTTAGCAAAAAAGTGATTCACCACGGCAAACTGAGCAGAGGGAAGAAAGAAAGCCAACTCAGAAACGTCAAGAAAACTGCAACAGTCTTGGGATAGATTCATGAGTAGCAGAACTAAGTATAATATCAATAATGAAACTTTTCCAGGGTATACAGAACAGCAAAAAAAAAATCCCAAAGGGCAAAACATTTGCAAAAAGTCCCGCAAAGTACAATACAGATGAAACACATTCAAAATTAGAATGAGCCCTGGGACAAGATTCAAAATAAAGGCAAAATTTCACTACTAGCTTCTTGCAGTAGGGTGGGAATAACAAAGTTATTGAGTAGAAGCAAATGAGAAAGTCTGTAGTGGGAGTGACATGTTATAGGTTGCTAAAATATTAGAAGGCACAGAGAAAATCAATAGACTTCATTTCTCATAGTACTGGATAAAATTGGTTGTCAGTAGATTCTGTAAACAACAAACCAGAGTTATCCTTTACACAATGTAGAATTGATTTATGGCATTCACTGTCATAAGATGCAGTGAGGGATACTGCTCAGAGAGTTTTAAGAGAGGACAAGACAATTTCATTAAAGAGGGAAATGTCTATTAATGACTTGTAGTTAACTTCACGATATTGGAGCTGTCAGGTTCAAAGAGAACGTGTCACTCGGTGATGGGGGGTCACATATCGCTTTAAACCATAATGTGGTTTGACTAATTTTGTAACTCAAACCTTATGATTTTCTTAAGTGCAAGGCCAAATGTCTGGTTCAGCCAAGCCCCATTTAAAAACTGTGGCTTAGTATGATATGAAAAAAACCCCAAACATTAGGAGTTGAGGAACAAAACAAAATAATTAACCTTTTCAGTAAGATGCTCAACTAAATCAGACATTTAGGATAATCTAGTACAATTCAAATGTGAAAATATATCTAACTAAGGTATTTTGAAGAATGGGCTGAATGAACTATTCCTGTGTGAACTCATGAAAGATCTCAAGATAGGGAACTGAGAGGCAGGTATGTATTTTTCCCTCATTCTCCTCCAGTGCTATTGACTGCTTATGCTGTTACTTCTCCAGCTTCCACCCACTACATTTTCTTCCTATAACCAGGACAGTGTAAAGCCCTGAAGTTTCTCTCTTGAGATTTCTAAACATTTATTGTCAGTGAAAACTGAAATTCCCTTTCATTGTTTATAAAGTAGCACAACCATTCTTCTGATGGGCCTCTCTCATCTTAAATAACTTCCTCTAGTCAATTTGAGTCCCATTCCTGCATCTATGCCAAGGTCAGCTGAACACCTCTTCTCTCCCCAAAAGAAAATTTAAAGTTCATAGTCCACATGTAGGCTTACCAACTTTTACTGCATCTCTCTTCCTCACTTTTTTTACCTCCTCGTCACCAATTTTTTCTCCCTGCTTTTGCCTTAGTAAATTTGCTAAGATGGCTTTTCAGCTTCTTTGGTACTTCCAGACAGGCGGTTCCCAGAGGTAACGGTCAAAGTATCACATAGTTATTCCATCTTAGGAAAAGGAAGATTACAAATGGAAAATGGCATTGCTTATAAAATTGCATGAACGAGGCAGAAAGGACTGCATAATAAAAGCCTTATCTGAAATGGATGAGAAGTGCAAAACAGCTTGAGAGATTGCACAACAGCCAAAAATTCAACTGGGCTACAGCAAGTTCTCATGGGCTCAAACAGAATTTTGGATCCTGGATGTTATCTTCTGCTAAGAATTACTTCCTTGATTCATTCTTGTTAAACATTCATCAGATTCTTTTCTGTTCAGCTAAGCAAACTTAAAAGTCCATGTAAAGGAATGAAGAGATGGCCCTGGGCCTAGGGAAGGAATGAATAAGTGGTAAGAGGGGACTTGCAGAAAACTAATTTACAAGCCATAAGAAAAGGGGAAGGATGAGAAAGAAATTTGAAATAACCCCACTTTGATTTTGTTTAATGTAAGATGGGGCAGAAAGAAACTTCGACAGGCTTTCAAGATTCTGTTATTCTATCTTACTACAATAAATAGCATTCCCCAAATCTGTGTCAGGTCTGTTTCTTCACTTGGCCTACTGTGAAGGACTGACAGTCCCCTAATTAAAACCATACAATTTGTTTGTTCCACATCAACTAGCACGTAGATTCAGCCGAAGCAAGATTTACTATATTTCCTTTAATTTGTCTGGACTGTTATGTCTTAGATGGCAATGAATGCACGCTTTCCAAAAAGACATAGCTTGAGAATATGAAGCTTAATATGAAACCATCTGGTTTATGGCTCTTTCATTAACTGCCATCTCCTGTACTGACCTATAATTTTTATAAATAAATTCTGGACTTAAGTGACATTTCCTTCTAAAAAAGAAAAAAATAAATCTCTCAAGGTTCTTAAAGTATTAAGTTCCCCATTCAAGTATATTTTTCTTCTCCCAATGTTTAACACTTTTATTTGTCAAATACATTGTGCTTACTTAAATAAAAAGCAGAGAATTGTAATCTAGGCAAGACGACACTGAGGATCCGTGCTCCATAATGAACATGAGAGATCGCCATTTTGACACAGCAAGAATGAGTTTTACGCCATGTTGGAATCTTCATTCACAATTGCCACAGGTTCTTCATGCTCATTAGAATTTCTTCTCCCCTTCTTAGCAGCTGATTTCTTTTTCTTTTTTTCTTTTTGTTCCAGGTTATTCAAAGAAAGCTCATCACTCTTCTGAGTAATATGCTTCAGCTAGAAATATAGAGAATGTCATCAGTCACCTACGGTAGCAGAGATTCACCATGCAGCCAGTGGAACACACACCAATGCATAAACACATCCAAGGAGTAGATAACATGAAGATTTGTAGGCAGGTTGACATCCAGTGGTTTCTCAGACCCAGACAATACAAGGTCTAATAAAACAGCGACTAACTACTCATGATATTGGAAAGACAAAAGGTAAATGGCAAGCTGTGATTCAAGATAAAAATCTACGATGTGTCAGTTATTAAATATCTGACTACAAATACACATCTTGAAAAAAGTCAATGTTGTTCAAAGGTTTCTCCCACCCAGTCCAAGCAGAGTTATAGCAGTCAACACACATTAAATATAAGTGGTACCGTTTTTCTGCAAGAAAAGGAAGAAAAGGGAATGTTTTCCTCCATTTGTTCTTATCTTCCAATGTATCTACCAGCTATTTTTAGTGTTTGAGTCAGACTTTACATTTGTTTTATAGCAAGTAAAAATGTTCATCCAAGGTAGAAAGAAGGACGGTAGATCAGTCTGCACACAAATTTACTGTGTAACTCTTTTCCTACCTTTAATTGCTTATTCGCTGCAAGATGGTGTTAAGTGACTATTATACAGCGGTAGGAGACCTGTTCATAATGTGACGACCACAATTCGATCCCCAGCAATTAAAAAGGGCTAACTAGCAGGTGACATGTAAGGCTTTTTGGCAATGTGTAACATAATTAGACTACAACTAGGAACATTCTTCATCATCAGCCACGCTGGCTAAAACAAAAGGGAATTAGATTTTAACAATCCTTGAACTCCTGGCTTACAAAAAAAAAAATCTGAGTTGATATAAGGCATCTTCCTGATCATAAGCATGCTTATGATACCCTTTTCAGACATTGTGGCTGCTCAATTCATTTTTGACACGAGAAAAACTCATGAAAACATATGTACTAAGCGTGAGCCAGAAGTCTTCATGGGAATTTGGTTCAATTTATGATTCCCACAGATATCCCAATCCATACACTTCAAACCAAAACAAATCTCATTTGTTTTTACCAGTTTTAGTGACAATTTTGTAATATCTGTTGTTAGGATGACTGCATCTTGTTTCAGTTTTATTCTGTAGAAAAAAACAGCTTATTGGAGCTGTTTGGTCCATGACAACTCATACACTATTGTTATTTGCAGTACAAATAAATGATGGGGTAAATGCACATAAGTTCTATCAGGATATAATGTGGCACTATGTTCCCAACAAAACTTAGCTTTAAATACAATAGTCCAGTCAAATGGTGCTGTACTGAAACAGCAATTCTGTACAAAGAACTGTATACCAATTTGCTCTCTACAGAGCAAATCCCTCCAACTTTAGTAAGACTTTTCAATTAACTTGCAGAACTGTTGCTGTCTTATGGGGCAAAAGGAAAGGAAGAGGAGGACTCAGACATTACTTGATCCTCCTTGATAGATTCCAGTACAGGCTCTGGGCATTTTTCTTCTATGATATTCTTCTGCCCCAAATCCTTTTGTAAGAAGAAAACTCACCAACTATAACCAAGTGGCTATGGCACAACTGTAATCTTGGAGCATGGACAGAAGGAGCTGTTTTGCTCTTCTGTGTTCAATTAAGCTGCCCTGCAGCTGTTGGTTCAAGGACACACAACTCAGCTGAATGCCTCACCCCCACCCATTTCTGCTTTTCTAAATACTGCATGGTGACAAGAAGCTTGCCCTGATGGGATTTAAAATTAGCAGAAACATCGGCTCTGTTCATCTGAAACTGAATTTCTACTTTTGATAAAAGAGAGGCTGCGTATTGTGGTAGCTTGTAAATGATGCATAATAAATATTGTGAGCAAAATGCTACAGAGTGTTTGTGCTCATCAGACAACTTGAAAATCTGTATCAAAATAGGGTACATCAGTCTCCCTCTCTCACACACACACGTTCATTCACAAACACAGACACCACCCATACCAGGTACTATGAAAGGCACCAAACCATCACTGATATTTGCAGCCCTCCATTTTGGGGGGTTATGAGAATGAGGGCTGTAGACTAGGAAACAAAAATTGAAACAAAAGAAAGCAGTAACTTTGCATTTGTATTACTAAGATGGTAGAAATGAGGAGGGTAAGAAGTAAGTGAGCCCACCATTCATCTTTGGTAGGCACTTTGCCAGCCTTTCAGTCATCGGACCTTTCAGTCACCCAGGACCCATTGTGGCTGACCTGAAAGTCACTGTTCTTCAAATAAAGTCAAGTCAGGGGGAGATTCCAGTGTGAAATTGCCAAAGTAGAATTGACCACAAAGTTACATGGTTTATGAGTCAACTGAAAGGCCCTCTCTTCTTCTAAATTCATAAATTGCTATAGACAAATGGGGAGACTGTGCTTTTCAGCAACGATTAAAATTGCATGATCAGTAAGCTTAAGCCGTGTATTTGAGCTTAAACCAGGACACCAGACAAGGAAACAACTTATATCCTATGACTATTTCTAAAGCCCAAGATGGCCATGAGTAAGACAAGAGAAATAAGAAGCTTCTCTTCTTAAAGCTACAGTAGCATAAAAGTAACAAAATTAAGATACACAAATATAACATTTCCATACTAGTGAATGTTGTGTTCAGTGTGCTAGACAGAAAAGTAGATTATGTGATGATAGCCTTTTATGCCTCTAAAACCTACACCATAGCCTGTAAGGTACCACTACTTTTTCCAATATGGTGGCTTTCAGACAGATCTCCAACTGTTCTAATACCAAACCAGCAGGTATCAGAGAAACAGAGCTCCAGAGTATTCTGAGACCATCACGCTGACTAATGCTGTCCTTGACCTTTAATGCTCCAATGTTAGCAACTTTCTACAATCCAAGAGGCAATGAGGTATTTCAAACAATTCAGTCCAAGATACCAAGAGGTTCGTGTACAGGTATGTCCCCCAGGAGAGCAGCATCTGTGGGGGGTGTATATGTGTGTATGTGAAACAGGCAAAGTGACAATCGCAGCATTGTAATTGTCACAAAGGGCTAGCGGTTTAATTATAATGCCCCAACCACCATCTTGCCTGTTTTGACCCTTCTCTGGAGATGCCACTGCCTAAGGATACTGGGGCACAATTGTCTAATACAGTTTATTACAGTTCTCTGCTCTAGTCCACAGATACTTCTATTCTAAGCGTCCTGCCAGCCAATTTAGAAACTTACTTTACCGTAAACTTACTTTACAGATTCAGTAAACCAGCATGTCATCACCATTCAAGGAGCCCCCAATGTTTAGAAGAAACGTAACAGTAGACAGGGCTTTCCAACTGAAACAATGTACCCCAAAAGGGAGGATCCCATCTCACCAATGAGTTGCTCCTTCGAGCCAAAAGCTTCACATCTTCAACATTAACCGTACTCCGTTTTCCGTGCCTGTGGGAAAGAACAAGGGACCAGGTCACAAGAAGATTGCAGGAAGACTGTCTGAAACAAATGAATCTTAAAATCCTGCCAAGAAAGTTGCTTAAGTGCCATGGAGTCTTTCGTTCAAAGCTTTTCTACAGCTGCTAGGTACGTTAACCAAGTGAACCTTTTTATACAGTGGCAACTAGATAATGTTGAAATATCACTGGGATCGTGCTTTCACTGGAAGAGTCCTGATTTTACACTTCTTTTCAAGAGTAAATTGAGAATCCTCACATCGAGTAAAGCATACAGTAGAATCCTTCTTGAACTGTACTACTTTGAATGACAAAGAGTAGGAAATCATATTCTGATGTTCGTCTGTGTAAAATGAAATGTTCCCCTGTAGCAAACTGACACACAGTGGAGAAACTTAGTTATCAGATTACTTCTTCCTACTATAACTCCCTTCACTGATGATAGGAAGCTGACCCAATTACTTTTCTTTTTGTGTATTGTGTTTGTAACTGTTCTCTCTTCACTGCTCAAAGTCTGTGAGGGTTGGGGTGCATTATAAATTGTATACAAGCAACTTGGTTTAAACTGGGAGAAGAGCAGATCTTGCGAAATATAATTTCTGATCTACTAGTTTAGTGTTTCATCTGACTTTCCAATGCTTCCTGAGACTCTAAAATAAAATTAGGATAAATGGAAGTGAGAGAGAAGGAGAGAATTATCTCAGCAAACTCTGGGAAAAAAATCCTGGATGAAGATACCACTTGCTATTAAAACCAGGTTCTTTGTGCGTCATTCAAGTCCCGCTTGATTTATATATTAACACACTTGCCCATTATATAAAGACACTGATTTAGAACTGTAATTTGCAAAATGAAAATTGACTTTCATTAACCCCCAAAATGAACACAAAAGCAGAATGTAAACGGAATGAGATAATGAAAAAAAAGGATGAAATTATGAACAGCTGGAAACAGATACAGAAATAGATGGTCTGATCCTGTGGCAGTCTTGTATTTTTAAACAAAAAGAACAAATATGCAATTTTCTACCAGTAGCAGGTAGAGGAGAGGAACAGAAAAGGCTAGGGTGCTGGTGGATATATACAAGAGCCTTGGAATCAATGAGGACAGGTCTGAACCTGGCTAAAAGATTAGAAAAGATTAGAACACCTACCAACCCAAGCATTGATCAGTTACCTCACTGAAGCCTACAGGACACCTTGCTGCAAAAAAATGGTTGACTATGAAAGCATGCTTTCTCTTCATTAACTAGCTCCTTCTTGGTCCACCCTTTTCTCAAGAGCTTGGCACCAGTTACAGAAGTAATTTAATGTCGTTATTAAATAAAATGCCAATTAATGCACTGAAATAGAGTGTCAGAATTAATTTTAGACCATCCCT